ATATTTTAGTATATTTATTTTTCACTAGGTAGAACTTCTTAGTTCTCACCTGGAGGTCTGGGCGGCTCTCCTCCCTCTTTGGGTTTGTCGGCAACTTCCACTTCACCCTCCTGTGGCTTGGTAACAACCATAGAGGTGAGGGGAGTGACAAACTGGTATTTCAGGGAGAGTTGAAGAGCTTCCTCCTTTTCATCCTCTTTCTCTTCTCCTTTAAGAAGCACCCTGAGATAAAAAGATGTCCTCAATGTTCATCTTAAATCACAGAATGTCATATCACTCATAAACTTACTGTCTCTCCAGAAGCTGCTTCACTGTAAGGTAGGCCCACAATCTCTGCATGAAATCTTCATTCTCAGGAGGGACGTCACTGGGGTCTTTTGTCATTATAGTGTCCTGATACGTCACATTACTGCCTTTCTGCTCAGAAATAATAACTGTCAGTACCACTTTCACCCATAACCCACTATAAAAACAAACCTATTATTACCAACTTCTTCAATCGACCAATGATCCTAATAATATGCCGCTAAAGAGAAGATTAGTGAAGATCTTACTGATACTGCGATGACTTCAGTGGTGAAACTCTCCACACTGTTGTCTGTGATTTGTCCTGACACCACAATCTCAGAGCCATTGAAATACAAGCTAAAGCTGGTCTTGGTAAGGTTTGTCCCTCCTGGGTATTTAAGTTGAATATCAGTGAGGAGAGGGACCGCAACTTCATCATAGAAGCCCTAAAAATCAAACAAACTTTAAATGCGCTCAAACAAAGTTCAGCATTGAGGATGAATTCACAGCTGATTGTCTGTAGTTCACCTGCAGCTGTAGATCAGCGTCCAAATCTTCATAAATCCTGCGAGCAACTCCACCATTTTCCAGTGACATCTTTGTCAGGAAGTCAAAGTTTACATCATATCCAAAGCCAAGACAATAGAGGGGAAACTTTGTCCCAATGGCCTCTTTCACATTGGCCATTATCTTCTCTATGTTGGTTTCACCTGTTTTAAAAATCATAATTTGGTGTTTTTGAGTTATTTGAGTGATCAGCAATAGACACATTAGGCAGTTTCATATTTTTTGTTGTCTTATTCTCTTACTGACAAAGATAGGAGCCAAATTGGTCATGATAATACCAAACAGGTCTGCTAATAAACCCTGTATATTATAGGCTGGCAGTTAAAGTGTTGTTCTATTCATTAAGTTGACTGAATAAACTAATGCTATGATAAAACACCCTTTAGCTTGTGTTTGTATGTGTCAGTGTGAATCTGTGCCTGTAGTGGGATCTCCATCAGTCAGCAGGATCAGGATGGAGGCTGTTCCCTCTCGTGGATGTCGACTGATCATGTCCACTCCTGCTAGAACTGCAGCGTTTATGTCCGTGGCTGAAGGAAGACCAAACATAGTTGTGTCACTGTGAGGTTCAACTTTCTTACTCCTTATGTAGCATTAGTGCTGTAACTCACCTCCTCTATCTCTGATCTCCTTCACGAAAGATTTCGCATTCTCCAGGTTTGTCTCAGTAGCTTTGAGGAGTTCACGTTTCCATAAGCTAACTTCATTGTCAAAGGTGATCAATCCAAAGTTGGTGTCCTCATCAAGATCACTCAAAATCCTTAGCAGTGCCAAACGAGTCTAAAGAAAAAACACTCCTGTCAGCAGATCTGGAAGTTATTCTTTCTCCATTATGACTGACAAGAATGTTCTTCGAGTGTTTTTCCATCAAAACATTTCATAGCTCATTATATGCTTTTGATTTGGCTGAAACGTTGAGATTAACCTGGTCTATTTTTCTGCCGTGCATAGAGCCACTCCGGTCAATGATAAACACCACATTTTTGGGAATACGTGGAACATCAGAGGGTGCAAAGTAGTGGACAAAATAGCCATTTGATACCTGAGAGAACAGAGAAGTAAGTACATTATGAATATCACCAATGCCTTTTTACATGGTCAAGGTCATGATTTTTGCCAAAATCGTAACATATTTTACTCTTTTAAAGCATGTTATTGAAAATGTACCATGACTTCTCCTTTGGGATTTCGTCTCTCAACATCGTATGTTACAAGCAGGTCTCCATTCAACCCATTTTCTCCACAGCTTTTACACGTGGTCTGTTGATCTCGTGTGGGGTAGAAGGTCACCCATGCCTGAAATGATCAGTTTGGTCATCTGGTATCTTTATTTGAAGTGTATGAGCATATTGAGAGCATCTAAACTGTGTTTTAACCCTCATTTAAGCTCTTACGTCTTTGTCTGCTCTGGTGGTTTTGATGGCATTGGCCAAATCCCCGGTGCTCAAATCTCCTTTCACCTCCAAGAATGAAATTCCTGGTTTCTCTTGGATGTGCAAATCCATCTGATGTAAGTAAAAGAAACATCATCTAACTATCCATTTTTATTGCTTATTAATTTCCTCTTCATTTCTTCCATTACCTTGAAGTCAGCCACCGGCTGCATCGGTTGGGCATTGATGAGTAGCTCATATTTGCCGAGGCGGCGCTTTAGCAGTTCCTCGTAGGTCAACTCAAAGGTCACTTTACTAAAAGCAGCCACCGTCACTGAAGTTTTAAAGTCCTCTAAAGTCCTTCCAACAGATCTGAAATAGAAAAAAAATCCCAGCATATTATTAAACATGCTATATATACATAGTTTTATGGACCTAATTTTAATAAATTCCAGTACTTGACCAGTCCAGCACTTTGTCCTCGAGATACTGCTTGATTGTATTGCTGCTGAGCTGCTTCTTTTTCCTTCACAACCCCATCATATGTTTTTCCCTCTATGGTCCTATGGAGAAAATGACACAATGACATTCTCTTACATTGTGTATCTCAGACATACAAAGATCATTTGAATAAAAGAATTATGAATTATGTTCATAATATAAAATAATTATGTTTGTTTGTATTAAAGCATTTGTACTGTTAGCTACTATTTCTTGTACTTAAAAAGTACAAACAGGTTATTTATTCTTGGAAGAAGATAGAATTGATAAAAAAACAACAACATTTTTTTCTTGTTCGGCTGCACCAGATGGACCTGATCTGACGGCCAAATACCATAAATGACTTCTTTACCTCTTTATTTCTACTTATATAACACTACTCTTGTTCACCCACATTCTGAATTTGCTGATGAAGGCGTTCTTGGGAATCTTGACCTCAAACTGGATCTCTTGAGATTCATTCAGTATGTTCGCAACACGGCTTGTGATGACTGTTGTAGCGTAGCGACTGGTGACCGTGGAGTTAATGTAGAAGCTGTATATATCCACATTTTGTTTCTGTTGAGACATCAGCAGTACACAAAAATAGAAGTATACTCATATTTTATAATAGAAAGTGATTGGCTGGTGCACATTCACTCCTCCTTTTCGCATTGGATTGCTCAAATGTTTACTGCTCGGAAATGGCAAAGAGAAAAGGCCTTTGGACTAAAAGACAAATATGTTTTGATGACGGCATCTCAGTGTACACAACTGAGCAACAGAAAGTTAGATAGATAGTTCTATCAATTCAAATTATATTTTTTCTGACAACAATAGTATTATAACATAATCAAAATGAAAATACTGTTGAATATATCAACATAGAAACCAAGCAGTTGAAAACGGTTAATTTTGTTCATTGCGTTGTGGTTTTATACAGAACAAACTAAGACAGATAGATTATATGAAAAGCTAAATCATATTAAATCAAAATACACTACTGTTAAAATGTTTGGGATTTAAAAAAAATGTTTTTTTAAAGACATCTATGCTCACCAAGGCTGCATTCATTTAATCATAAATATAATAAAACAGTCTTTTTATATTTAATGTTATTTTGTGAAATATTATTGTAATTTAAAATAACAATTTACATTTATAAATGTAATTCATTCCTGTATTTTCAGCTTACTCCAGTCTTCAGAGTCACATGATCCTTCAGAAATCTGATGATAATATGCTGATTTGCCGTTCAAGAAACATTATTTCTTAATTAATGTCGAAAACAGTTGTGCTGCTTAATATTTTTGTGGAAACGTGATACATTTTTTCAGGATTCTGTGATGAATAGAAATATTTTATAACATTAGAATAGTCTTTATGGTCACTTTTGATCAGTCTGATTAATAAAAGTATACTTTTTTTTAAAAATCTTACCGAGCTCAGACTTTTGAACGGTAGTGTATATTCAACATGTATAAGTAGATATACATCATTTGTCTGAACCTTCATCTCATGTATAGATAGGCCTATTTAATCTGTTTTTGTACCCTGATTTGACTCAGTCTTCTTCATCTTGAACTAAAATTTGACCCTCACCTTCTTAACAGGATCAGAAGTGGCTGAGATGAGAAAGACGCCCAAGAGAATCAGCCGCAGAGCTGCTCGATCCATCATGGCCTGCACAGAAAACTGACCTCGAAATGCACTCTGCCTTTAAACTCAAGTCCACATCATACTATTGGCTATTATTGACCGGATACAGAAACCTCCCCCTTTATTTGCAATCAGAGTCTCTTGAACCCCACATAAGTCAATAACAAGGCATGCTTTTATAGAAAATATATTATCTCATTTGTAAATGCATTCTGTAGAAACTTGGTGTTAAGCTTTTATTTATATTATCAGGCAGGACCACAAAAAAAAAGCATATTTTCCAGGAATAAGCACCAATCGAAGGGTTACTATGTATACATACAATTTTTGGTGCGAAATTTTAATTGCTGTTTTATAGTGCAACAAGTGGTGAGCAAATCTTGCACTCTAAAACAGAACATTACATACACAGATCGAAATCACTTTAAATGAATATTTGGGTTGACTATTGATGTGAAATTATTGTACATGGTTATCAAAGCATGCAAAAGATGTGATACACTGGAAATAACATTGTCATGCCCCTACTATTTGCCAATAGATGACCGTTTTATAGCTCATAAACAATGCCCATTTAAAGAATATGTTATATTATTGAAAAGGTCAGCACGATAATGGACAATAAAAATGATTTTTGCTGAACTCTACAGCTGAGTGACAGTGAAGTCAGCGAGCTCTTGCTGCGCAACAGCCTGGAATGGTACAAGCCAACATCCAACCACAGGAGCAGAAGCAAGTCTGTAGTCCTTCACCATCACCCTGAAATAACAATATACACTTACTTAAAAATATATAATAAAATCATATGCCAAAATGCAGTTTTATGGAAGTTCAGCTAAATGTACACTACTGGTCAAAAGTTTATAATAATTAAGATTTGAAAAATTCAGCAACAAATTAGCATATGATTTCTGAACGATCATGTGACACTGAAGACTGGAGTAATGATGCTGAAAATTCAGCTTTGCATCACAGGAATAAATTACATTTGAAAATATATGAAAGTAGAAAACAGTCATTGTAACAATAATTCACAATATTACTGTTTTACTGTATTTTTGTTCAAATAAATGAAGCCTTATACCAACCCTAAATGTTTGAACAGTAGTGTATAAAATATTTGTATTTAATATGATTTACCTTTATTTAAATTAAATGTAATATAATTGGTCATATAATCTCTCTGTCTTAAGTTTTCCCTAAATTAATCAAACATTTTTTAATGTAATTTTTCCAAATTTTGACTGGTAGTGTACATTTATTGATCACTTACCAAGATGTCTTCACTTCTTGGTCCTTTAACTTTAAAGTTGTGGTTTGTGATCCTGGGATCTCCTCATATGAAATATCAGCCTCTCCTTAAAATATTACCCACAGACATTGTAATTTTTTGTGAGTTTTGGATTAATAACCACAATATCATCACTGACAGACCATCTTTGTTATCAGTTGAGATTTAGTGTTGATACACAACGTATGATTGATTTTGCAATACTCTTACCTAAAATACCCGACAACATGACATCTTTTGGCTGTTGCTGAACAGCAGGCCACAGAAACACGTCCCCGTTTTCCTTGTGAAGCAGAATAATGACACGGATATTTCCCATGGTGACGTCTATTTCATTACTCCGTAGAATCAGAGACACGCTGTTGAAACAGAGAAGCTGATGAGTAAATTCTAGCTCTCAGATTAACATACTGTACAGAAATTTAGTGAAACACGAATAGTTTGAGTAGTATTTACTCCTCTGTATTGTGTTGGGTCGGTTCCTGGTCCCACAGAAACTCAACATGATTCTGGCCGTCGTGGTATCTGATAGACGTTGTGCTTATTGTCAGATGATGGTTTGTTTTGTAATGAAATGCAATTTTACGACATCCATTTTGTCCAGTCATGGATTCTCCATTCATAGAGAATTCTAGGACACACAGTACAAAACATTTAATTCCAGAAAAAGGCGACTTTCAAAAGGATGTGCATGTAGTAAATGTGTAATAGTAACCTGAAGCTGAATCCTGTAGGAGTCGGAGTTTGTGAGGAACAGGAACGTCAAAACAAAGCGGCTTAGACTGACCAACAACAGGCAGCAGGAAACGACTGCTATGAGCTGGTGGAGCTAAGACAAAACATAACCAAATGCAGCATCATAATTATTCTATAGAAATTGTATAATAATTCAGTTTGAGAGCACTTTATGTACCTGACATTGTAGAAAGTACAGTTACTCTCCTTGTAATCATGGGCATTTGTTCTAAAAAAAGAGGTTTAGTCATTAAAAAGCCAAATACAGGCTATTAATAATAAAGCTTTTCATGCTAAGTCATTTTTTTTGTACTGTATAATTTGTAATTGTATAATAATTAAGTTTGAGCGCACTTTATGTACCTGACATAGTAGAGAGAGCAGTTACACTCCCCAGAAACATGGGCTTTTGATTTAAGACCAAAAGAAGGTGTAACTGATCAAATTAGAACTAATGTGTATTTTGTATGCATTTACCTGACACAAGGCAGAATCAAAGTTACAGCATTTTCATACATACCAGCGAGCAATATGCCGCTAGACTGGAAATCTAAAAAAAGGGGTTTAGTCATTAATAAGTCAAAGACAGGCTACTTATGCAGTAATTCAATTTTTCATGCTAAGTTTATCAATAAGTCACAGCACTCATAATGTAATAATAAAATCAATAAATTATGAAAAAGTTGTAGCAATGCATTTTTGAAATAATTCAATAGAGAAATTATTAAATTATTTAGTAATTCAACTGCGGTAAAAACTCTCAAAAACACAACAGTTATTCATAAAATATTTCATAATAATTACAAACTAGAGCTACATTTAAATTAAATTTTAAAATATTAAACATTTATTTTCATGATTAAAATGTATTTTCAAATGTTTCATATCAGAAGGCTTCATTTCAGAATCACACCTAATACCTTATTTTATTTATTTTCACACCATTATATGAGTCTTTATCACTGAAAATCAAAGAGCAGTTGATTTCTTTTAGCTAAAATTGAATTATTATTATTTTTATTATTAGTAGTATTATTGTTGTTATAAAAGGTTTTTGGACACAAAATGTTGGAACATTGTCACACATACCCTCAGCTACTGGATAGAAACCTGGGAATGAAGAAGGTTTAGCAATTAAAAAGACAATAAAAGACTTTCATTTCTTATCAAGTACAACAATTTACATTAACTTAAAGCAGCACTATGTAACTTTTTCTGTGTTCAAAATTTGCAAAATGTATATAATGAGCGAGTACATCATGAATTTATCTTCCAAACCGCGTTTTTGTCTTATTCCGAATCACTACGGTAAATTGGGCCACTTTTTGGTTAATCGCTTGGGACACTAACAAAAAACCCATATATGACATTTAACTGTGTTCTTATGATTAATAAGGACTGTTTTTAATATTTTTGTGTTGAATTGATGTAATAAAATATAATTGTTCAGGCCCTACAGGTTTTGAAACATTAGCTGACCCACATTTTTTGAGATAGCAGTGTTCAGGTAAAATGGACATTTTCTGATAAAACACATTTAATTATATTTAATTTTATAATGTAACAGTGTAACATTTTTATTAAATTACATTAGAACATAAATTTCAATCAATTTCATCAATAAAACAAATGTCATTAAAAAAATTTAACAATAACTATAACAAGTAGTGTTATGACAACAGTTTAAAAGTTAACAGCCAAAGAATTTCAAAGAGAAGAGGTAAGACACTCAAACCTTTCAATCAATTTCATCAATAAAACATAAATTTCATTATAAAAATGTAACAGTAACCTGAACAACTAGTGTGTGTGTGTGTGTGTGTGTGTGTGTGTGAGCGCGCGATTTGAAAGTTTTTCAAAAACAGTCTTGATAGATAAAGCCGTCATCATCAAAAATGCCATTCTCTTCACCACATACTCTTCAACACACATACACATGCCTCACTAACATGCACACACAAACATAGTCAAGCACACATAAACACACATCACATACAAACACATTTAGAAGGTAAAATGTGAAAAAGCTATGTCACAAATTCAATACAATATATCAATAATATAAATAATTTTTAATAAGAGAAACCAGCAGAATTTCTGCTTAAACTCATCTCAGAAGGTGGCCCATTTTAACTGAAATTAATGGCTCATTTTATCTTAACACATTCAGGTAAATTGGCCAAGTGACTAAAAATGCTTTTTTTAATATAAAAATCTGGATTATTTAGCAAAATCGGCATTTTATCTCACAGAGGCCATCAAGACATGGGTTATGAATCATTATTTCTAAATGTGCATTTGTTTTTTATTGATTTATCAACCTTATTATTGAGAAGTAAGATTGGATATGTCAGGCCACTCAGCTTGCTTTTTTCTTGTGCGGTCTCAAAATGAGGCATTGCCCCTCACCCCTGAGCAACCTCAGACCAATAAAATCATTTGCTAAATATCAAGTACTGTTATGGCATCAGTTTGAAATTCTTTGCAGTCATTGGCTGTTAACTTTTAAAGAGATAAGACACTCAAACCTTAAATGGCCCATTTTATCTGATGGCCCAATTTGCCTGATATCACCCTAATAAGTACTTATATTTGGACTATTGTAGCCTGGTCGGGTCGTCACCACTGCGGAGTAAGTAACACATGCCTGCGTGAATCGCCATAGACATAAACTTAGAGAAGTAGCTCCAGTTGGAATGTTCTTCCGCGGGATGTGTGCAGTTCTGTTTATTAACCGCTAGAGCGCCAAAAGTTACATAGTGCTGCTTTAATAATTGGACATAAGTAATAATTAGTAATAATTAAACATAAAATAATTAGACAAGACATACATGATATGTACATGGCAGTTGTGTTTATTCATTACAGAATCTGGTTGATAAATGTAGAAGAGAAAAGGAATGAAACCACCTACGGTTAGCCTGAATACGCTCAGTGCGATATTGTCCACCTGAAAACAAAGTGTTTTTTTATGTTGTAAGCTTGAATCAAAGTTCCTTATCAATACTTCACTCGTACTGCGTCTTGCTTAAGATGCTAAGGGGAAACTCCTTTTTCTCTGAATACTGAAGCCTTTTTCAATCATGCAGTGAAACTGAGATTCAACCGAATACTGAAACCGCTCTCAATGAGTCCTACCTGCCTCGAATTCGGGCCCAACGACTCAAGGGTCGTCCTGAAGCCGAGGCATGGTTATGTACCTAAAGTGCTCTCGACTCCGTTCAGAGCACAGGTAAATAATTTTTAATAAGAGAAACCAGCAGAATTTCTGCTTAAACTCATCTCAGAAGGTGGCCCATTTTAACTGAAATTAATGGCTCATTTTATCTTAACACATTCAGGTAAATTGGCCAAGTGACTAAAAATGCTTTTTTTAATATAAAAATCTGGATTATTTAGCAAAATCGGCATTTTATCTCACAGAGGCCATCAAGACATAGGTTATGAATCATTATTTTTAATTGTGCATTTGTTTTTTATTGATTTATCAACCTTATTATTGAGAAGTAAGATTGGATATGTCAGGCCACTCAGCTTGCTTTTTTCTGGCCTGGTCTCAAAATGAGGCATTGTCCCTCCCGGCATTGAGGATATACATTGAGCGTTCCGCCCCGATAAGACGGTCGGATCAGCTTTTTGTATGCTTCGGTGACCGCACCAGAGGGTCTCCGGTCACGAAGCAGAGACTTTCCAAATGGATTATTGATGCTATCAAGCTAGCATACTCTTCTTTGGGCCTTCAATGCCCCATGGGAGTAAGAGCCCACTCTACGAGAGGCGTTGCCTCTTTCTGGGCTTGGTCTAGCGGAGATTGCAGAGATTCGTGCGGCGGTCAGCTGGGCCTCTCCGTCCACATTTACCAGGTTTTATAATCTGAACGTCCCGGCTTTACAAGCTCGGGTCCTTTCTGCTTAATGGACTTACTCTAGCAAAACCAGTGCTAAAACAGGCATTTGCCCTCTCGGTACGCTCTTGGCCCCCACTGGGTTCCGAGGCTGTACAATTTTTCTGGGAACGATTACTTAGTGCCGGGCCGACCTCTGTTTGGCCCTGTCGCTTTCTGTGGGGCTTCCCTACAATTACTTGGTACCTCTGGGCCCTTGGTGCTCAAGGCAAGTTAAAGCATTAGCCGTTCCTCTAACATAGCACGGCATTAAGCAAGACGCAGTACTCGTTCCCGTATCTCAGGGAACCGAGGTTATGTTAGTAACCGAGTACGATCTGTTAATTACGAATTTGTTTTCATTATGTGTGTTTTATTGCAATCCCATCATTTTACACCTTTACCCCATTTGCCTAGCCCTTTTTCCACTAAAATGTAAAAAAATATTTATATTTTTGGTTTCAAAGCAGTATTTAGAAAAAGGGCTAGTCTTAATGATGCGATCATTGCGATTTGAATACTGCTTGATCTGAACACTATGGAAGCAATAAAATAAGAAGGGGCACATTTTCCTTTACACGTGATGTGTCCTGTTCTCATGAAAAAAATAAAAAAGAAAAGAAAAAAGCCATACCACCAAGCCCTGGATGAGTGCCACTATATCCTCCTGATCCTGGGATATAATACAAATGAAGAAAAAAAAAAACAGAGAGCGATTTCAAGGCAGATTCAGTACAACATCGGTGTGAAATAAAAAATTTTCAATTTTCTAAATGCATGTTATAGATCTTATTGTGAATGATCTATCTATATGTTCTCTCAAAGAATGTAGGGTCTTAACAGTCATGATGTGATCATGTCGATTTGAAAACTGCTTGGTTTGAACCAAGGCAGATTCAGTACAACATCGGTGTGAAATAAAAATTCGCCTAATTTTAGAAAATTCTTCAATTTTCTAAATGCATGTTATAGATCTTATTGTGAATGATCTATCTATATGTTCTCTCAAAGAATGTAGGGTCTTAACAGTCATGATGTGATCATGTCGATTTGAAAACTGCTTGGTTTGAACAGTATGGAAGCTATAAGATAAGAGGGGGGTATGTTTTCCTTTACACATGGTTTACCTATCAAAAGAAGAAAGCTTTTAGAAGAAGAAAAACTGCATACCACGCAACACTGGATAAGCTGCTGGTGGACCGGGCAGACCTCGCTGATAAAGGTACGATTTAAATCCTGGTGCTGGGAAATGAAAAAAAAAAGTACTTCAAGGCAGATGCAGTATATTAAAGTAAGCATGAAATAAAATTAATGTATTTTCTAAATGCATGTTATAAGTCTTATTGTGAACTATCCATGTATGTGTTTCACTTTATCAATTATGACCTTGTAATTTTTAATCAAAATATCATAACCGGTCTTGTCATGAGACACTGGTGACGTATGCAGGACTTAAATCCAATTAACGACTAATGTAAAAAAAAAAAAACATATTTTACATTTTTCGATAAGCTGTTTCACTCGGATGTGCATCACAATACGGATGAACAGATCTGTCACTGATTCTGTCACAATTCTCTGCAATAGTTTATGTAAATAGCGTACATGAACTGTTTGTTTTATCATTTTATACTTACATCCAAAAGGACCGCTAGGTACAGGACGCGGGTGCATTGCTAATTAAAATACAAAGAGAAAAGTGTTATTCACTGTGTACAGTGGCCAGCAAAACTCCATTCCTGAAGAAAAGTCCATTAAGTTCATTTCTTCTGTTCAGTCCCTTGAGGTCTGGACAGCTGCTTTATAATAGAAATTAAAGTTGTTCTAACTGAAAAAGACATGGATACTGTTGTATTCATGCTGCTTGCTTTAAATCAATTACTGTATAAAGTGCTAAATAAATAAATTTGACTTGACTGGAGTGCAGAATTGCAGCGCTCAGGCAAACATATCAACATAGGTTTCTCACCACTGTGTTTTGTTGTTTGATTTATTTTGTTATGGATAGGAAAGCATGCAGAACAAATTTTACATATTCATCATTACATATTCATTCCAGCAGTGTAGGCAGCATCGCGAAGTTCGCTAACGGTAAACCTCTGCTTGGGTATTTCTAACGTCTTTTTAGCCCTATAAGCGAAGAATGCAAAAGAACTTTGCCATGTGTGTGTCAGGGCCTTAACTTGTAGGATGCACAGATGAAGTAGCTTCTTTTAATCATCTTTTATTTATTAGATATATTTGGTAGACATGGATGGTTAATACATTTGTTTAGAACTCTTCATATTGCTGCTGTTTATTTAGCTTTATAAAATTGTAGGATTTCTGTCTTCAAAACGAGAAACCATTGAATCTGTGAGCAGACACAAACGAACATTGAATCTCTGCATTCCACCAGAAAAACTAAAGGTTCTCCTCCCCAGCCATCTGCGGTCGTAAAACTACATACAGGGTCAGCTCAGTGTCTTAGCAGTTCCTGCCCCCTGCGGCTTATCTTCTCAAGAGACTCAAAGACAAGCACTAAGACCGCAATAACTGACCTCTGCATCTGGACTCATTTAATATTAAAATTGTTTTAAATGGTACAGAAATGCACCTCAGTCCAGTATCCATTCATATTCTCATCTAAATAAATCGACACAAAAAATCGAAAGGATTGTGATGAGGATTGTATGATTTTTGAATATTATCGGTCTTTAAATGCAAGATATTTAAAATGTACCATAAGTATACTTGTAATAGTTCTTTTAACACAATCAAATATACTTCAGTATATCTTTAGTTGGACTTCAACACTACTTCCACACAATTAAAGTGCATTAAGTACAAAATTAGTTGTTCCAATTTAGCAGACTTTAAGTATACGAGTTTAGTATACTAAAAGTACAGTTGCAGGGTATTTTTAATAAGTACATAAATATGTAAATGTATTTGTAGTATACTTAGCATAAAATAAATGTATTTCAAATATATTTTAGTATATTTATTTTTCACTAGGTAGAACTTCTTAGTTCTCACCTGGAGGTCTGGGCAGCGCTTCTCCCTCTTTGGGTTTGTCGGCAACTTCCACTTCACCCTCCTGTGGCTTGGTAACAACCATAGAGGTGAGGGGAGTGACAAACTGGTATTTCAGGGAGAGTTTAAGAGCTTCCTTCTTTTCATCCTCTTTCTCTTCTCCTTTAAGAAGCACCCTGAGACAGAAAGATGTCTTCAATATCCAACTTAAATCGCAGAATTTCATCTCACTCATAAACTTACTGTCTCTCCAGAAGCTGCTTCACTGTAAGGTAGGCCCACAATCTCTGCATGAAATCTTCATTCTCAGGAGGGACATCACTGGGGTCTTTTGTCATTATAGTGTCCTGATACGTCACATTACTGCCTTTCTGCTCAGAAATAATAACACTAGTGAATATTTTTATCAGGAATGCTGTCAGTACCACTTTCACCCATAACCCACTATAAAAACAAACCTATTATTACCAACTTCTTCAATCGACCAATGATCCTAATAATATGCCGCTAAAGAGAAGATTAGTGAAGATCTTACTGATACTGCGATGACTTCAGTGGTGAAACTCTCCACACTGTTGTCTGTGATTTGTCCTGACACCACAATCTCAGAGCCATTGAAGCACCCTGAGACAGAAAGATGTCTTCAATATCCAACTTAAATCGCAGAATTTCATCTCACTCATAAACTTACTGTCTCTCCAGAAGCTGCTTCACTGTAAGGTAGGCCCACAATCTCTGCATGAAATCTTCATTCTCAGGAGGGACATCACTGGGGTCTTTTGTCATTATAGTGTCCTGATACGTCACATTACTGCCTTTCTGCTCAGAAATAATAACACTAGTGAATATTTTTATCAGGAATGCTGTCAGTACCACTTTCACCCATAACCTACTATAACCTATTATTACCAACTTCTACACAATCGTCCAATGATCCTAATAATATGCCACTAAAGAGAAGATTAGTGAAGATCTTACTGATACTGCGATGACTTCAGTGGTGAAACTCTCCACACTGTTGTCTGTGATTTGTCCAGACACCACAATCTCAGAGCCATTGAAGTACAAGCTAAAGCTGGTCTTGGTAAGGTTTGTCCCTCCTGGGTATTTAAGTTGAATATCAGTGAGGAGAGGGACCGCAACTTCATCATAGAAGCCCTAAAAATCAAACAGACTTTAAATGCGCTTTCATTCATTGAGGATGAATTCACAGCTGATTGTCTGTAGTTCACCTGCAGCTGTAGATCAGCGTCCGAATCTTCATAAATCCTGCGAGCAACCCCACCATTTTCCAGTGACATCTTTGTCAGGAAGTCAAAGTTTACATCATATCCAAAGCCAAGACAATAGAGGGGAAACTTTGTCCCAATGGCCTCTTTCACATTGGCCATTATCTTCTCTATGTTGGTTTCACCTGTATGACAATGCATTCATACATACTATAGCAATCACAAAGTGAGAAACAATATATCACATATTCAAAAAAGTGCAAAAACACAAGATGTGCTGATTGACAATATTAATGTTTAAAGCAGTTCTGATGCCGATTTTCCTTTAAACAGCTAAATGTGGGCAGTGGGTGTTTGTATGTATCAGTGTTTCTGTGCCTGAAGTGGGATCTCCATCAGTCAGCAGGATCAGGATGGAGGCTGTTCCCTCTCGTGGGTGTCGACTGATCATGTCCACTCCTGCTAGAACTGCAGCGTTTATGTCCGTGGCTGAAGGAAGACCAAACATAGTTGTGTCACTGTGAGGTTCAACTTTCTTACTCCTTATGTAGCATTAGTGCTGTAACTCACCTCCTCTATCTCTGATCTCCTTCACGAAAGATTTCGCATTCTCCAGGTTTGTCCCAGTAGCTTTGAGGAGTTCACGCTTCCATAAGCTAACCTCACTGTCAAATGTGATCAATCCAAAGTGGTCGTCCTCATCAAGATCACTCAAAATCCTTAGCAGTGCCAAACGAGTCTAAAGAATGTCAGCACATCTGGAATTTACACATCTTTCTCCATTATGACTGCATATTCACATTTACCAGAGATGGACAGCTTTGTTTTGTTTTGTTTGTTTGTTTTACTAATTTAAAGAAAGCAACTTCACATTGATTTCAATACAGAAATGCCTGTCCTTTTACCATGATAATGCAAAATGCTGCGAGATCCTTCAAGAATGGTTTACCATCAAAACATTTTATTGCTCATTATATGCTTTTGATTTGGCTGAAACGTTGAGATTAACCTGGTCTATTTTTCTGCCGTGCATAGAGCCACTCCGGTCAATGATAAACACCACATTTTTGGGAATACGTGGAACATCAGAGGGTGCAAAGTAGTGGACAAAATAGCCATTTGATACCTGAGAGAACAGAGAAGTAAGTACATTATGAATATCACCAATGCCTTTTTACATGGTCAAGGTCATGATTTTTGCCAAAATCGTAACATATTTTACTCTTTTAAAGCATGTTATTGAAAATGTACCATGACTTCTCCTTTGGGATTTCGTCTCTCAACATCGTATGTTACAAGCAGGTCTCCATTCAACCCATTTTCTCCACAGCTTTTACACGTGGTCTGTTGATCTCGTGTGGGGTAGAAGGTCACCCATGCCTGAAATTATCAGTTTGGTCATCTGGTATCTTTATTTGAAGTGTATGAGCATATTGAGAGCATCTAAACTGTGTTTTAACCCTCATTTAAGCTCTTACGTCTTTGTCTGCTCTGGTGGTTTTGATGGCATTGGCCAAATCCCCGGTGCTCAAATCTCCTTTCACCTCCAAGAAGGAAATTCCTGGTTTCTCTTGGATGTGCAAATCCATCTGATGTAAGTAAAAAAAATCATCTAACTATCCATTTTTATTGCTTATTAATTTCCTCTTCATTTCGTCCATTACCTTGAAGTCAGCCACCGGCTGCATCGGTTGGGCATTGATGAGTAGCTCATATTTGCCGAGGCGGCGCTTTAGCAGTTCCTCGTAGGTCAACTCAAAGGTCACTTTACTAAAAGCAGCCACCGTCACTGAAGTTTTAAAGTCCTCTAAAGTCCTTCCAACAGATCTGAAATAGAAAAAAATCCCAGCATATTACTAAACATGCTATATATACATAGTTTTATGGACCTAATTGAAATAAATTCCAGTACTTGACCAGTCCAGCACTTTGTCCTCGAGATACTGCTTGATTGTATTGCTGCTGAGCTGCTTCTTTTTCCTTCACAACCCCATCATATGTTTTTCCCTCTATGGTCCTATGGAGAAAATGACACAATGACATTCTCTTAACATACCAGAAACTTACATTGTGTATCTCAGACATATTGCATAAAATAATTTTCCATCACACACAAATGGTAGCACCACTTAATATGTTTGTTTGTATTAAAGCATTTGTACTGTAAGCTACTATTTCTTGTACTTAAAATGTACAAACAGGTTATTTATTCTTGGAAGAATTTTTTTTTCTTGTTCGGCTGCACCAGATGGACCTGATCTGACGGCCAAATACCATAAATGGCTTCTTTACCTCGTTATTTCTACTTATATAACACTACTCTTGTTCACCCACATTCTGAATTTGCTGATGAAGGCGTTCTTGGGAATCTTGACCTCAAACTGGATCTCTTGAGATTCATTCAGTATGTTCGCAACACGGCTTGTGATGACTGTTGTAGCGTAGCGACTGGTGACCGTGGAGTTAATGTAGAAGCTGTATATATCCACATTTTGTTTCTGTTGAGACAATGAATAGTAAACTCATATTTAAGTATGGTCAAAGTGATTGGCTTGTGCATGTTAACTCCTCCAGTTTGTTTAGAATTGCTCAAATATTTACTGCTCGAAAATGGGTTGGAGAAAAGGCCTTTGGACTAAAAGACAAATACATTTTGATGACTGTATCTCAGTGTACACAATTGAGCAATAGTGAGAAAGATAGTTCTGTGAAATTGCATTTTTCTGTCAACAATGGCATTAAAGACAATCAAAATGAAAATACTGTTGAATATCTCAACAGAGAAACCATGCAGTTGATAACAAATGGTTAGTTTTGTACATTGCGTTGTGGTTTTAGCAAGAAAAAACCTAAGACAGATAGATTACTGTACACGACAAACTATATAATGTTAAATCAAAATACATGATACATTACTGTTTAAAAGTTTGGGGTTCCTATGATTTTTTTTAATGTTTTTGAAAGAAGTCTATGCTCACCAAGGCTGCATTAATTTGACAAAAATACAATAAAAACAGTAATTTTGTGAAATATTACTGCAACATTATTGCAGTTTACGTCTATATATATACAGTGGGTACGGAAAGTATTCAGACCCCCTTAAATTTTTCACTCTTTGTTATATTGCAGCCATTTGCTAAAATCATTTAAGTTAATTTTTTTTCCTCATTAATGTACACACAGCACCCCATATTGACAGAAAAACACAGAATTGTTGACATTTTTGCAGATTTATTAAAAAAGAAAAACTAAAATATCACATGGTCCTAAGTATTCACCCCCTTTGCTGTGACACTCATATATTTAAACAAGGCATGCTTTTATAGAAAATATATTATCTAATTTGTAAATGCATTCTGTAGAAACTTGGTTTTTTTATTTATATTATCAGGCAGGACCACAAAAAAAAAGCATATTTTCCAGGAATAAGCACAATTAATACTTAGAGAGACACCGATTGAATTTTTTTTGTTATGCAATTTTAATTGCTATTTTATCACACAGTTTGCCAGCTAAAGCCCATGCATTTGTGTGGGCAAAGAAGAACACATTCAAAGACATAGTGCAACAAACGTGGTAATCAAAGCATGCTAAAGAAGAAAATAACTTGGTCATGCCAACAGACAACAGTTTCACAGCTATTTGACCAACAATGCCCATTTAAAGAATATGTTATATTATTGAAAAGGTCAGCACGATAATGGACAATAAAAATGATTTTTGCTGAACTCTACAGCTGAGTGACAGTGAAGTCAGCGAGCTCTTGCTGCGCAACAGCCTGGAATGGTACAAGCCAACATCCAACCACAGGAGCAGAAGCAAGTCTGTAGTCCTTCACCATCACCCTGAAATAACAACATACACTTACTTAAAAATGCCAAGATGCAGTTTTATGGAAATTCAGCTATATGTACACTACTAGTCAAAAGTTTGGAATAATTAAGATTTTAATAATTAAGCACCAAATCAGCATATTAGAATGATTTCTGAACGATCATGTGACACTGAAGACTTGAGTAATGATGCTGAAAATTCAGCTATGCATCACAGGAATAAATCACATTTTAAATATATTAAATATGAATAAAACAGAAAACAGTTTATTTTAAATTTTAATAATTTTTCACAATATTATTGTTTTTACTGTATTTTTGGTCACATAAATGCAGCCTTGGTGGGCATAGGAAACTTCTTTCAAAAATGTAAAAAAACATTTATTGATCACTTACCAAGATGTCTTCACTTCTTGGTCCTTTAACTTCAAAGTTGGGGTTTGTGATCCTGGGATCTCCTCATATGAAATATCAGCCTCTCCTTAAATATTATCCACAGACATTGTAATTTTTTCCCAGTGTTGGTTTATTAACCACAATATCATCACTGACAGACCATCTTCGGTATCAGTAGAGATTAAGTATTGTGTTGATATAGTGTGACTGATTAGTGACTCTCTCACCTAAAATACCCATCAAACTGACATCTTTTGGTTGTTGCCAAATGGCAGGCCACAGAAAAATGTCACCGTCTTTTTTATGAAGAAGAATAACAACGCGGATGTTTCCCATGGTAACGTCCATTTCATTGCTCCGTAGAATCAGAGAGACACTGATGAAACAGAATTAAGGGCCGTTCACACCAGGAACTATAACTATCAATTCTACCTCAATATCACAAAATTACTTTGTAAAAATGAGAGAAATTTATATTTTTTCAAATTAATAATTTTTTTTTTAATCAAATTCTCTAAATGTATTAAAATGTAAACAAACAATTAATTTATGACGTTTTTTTTTTTTTTACTGTTTAAGCATATTACTTTTCTCTCTCATGGTGGGTGAGGTCTTGCTCCCATGAAAACTTAACCGTTTTCTGCCCATCATTGTAGATAATTTCAGTAGCGCTGAGCAGAAGGTGGTGATTAGTTTTGTAATGAATTGCAATTTGACTGAAGCCTTTTCCTCCAAATGACTCAAGTTGCCCATTCATACAGAAATCTGATTAAAGAGTATAAACAAACATTACAGTGAGATTTTGCTTAAATTAACAAATGAAAGCAATGGAATATTACTGTTCATTAAAACAAACTGTAATAGAAAGTGCCGAATATCTGACCTGATGGGACATTCTGTTGGAGTCTGACTTTCTGAGCAAGAGGAACATCATAACAAAGTGGATGAGCATTACCAGAAGATTTCAAGATCCTAATGCTCCTCGCTGAAGGACCAAAAAGGGAATGAAGGACCGAAAATAGGGAAATATGATGTCAGATGAAACTATACAAGACACTGCACTATATAAAATGAATACACACGAGGTCCACATACATGGAGGAGAGGTTGTCAGAGGTTTCTGAGTTGGACTTTCTATTCGTAGGGCTAAAAAAAAAAAAAAAAGGGTAAGGGTATAAATCTGGCATAAGGAAATAAGATAATGAAAAATCAGTTGACATAATAAAATGAATAAATACACAGCAAACATATCAATGTAGTAGGTTCATTGTGAAAAAGTGAAAGTGATGTGACGTGTAGCTAAGTATGGTGTCCAATACTCGGAATTTGTGCTCTGCATTTATCCCATCCAAGTGCACACACACAGCAGTTAGTAGTGAACACACACACACACACACACACGGAGCGATGTGAAGTTGTACCATCATCACTGAAGTTATTAAAAACTGAACTCTTAAAAAACAAAACAGTAAAGCAGCTATAATCATTTATTTAATTCTCATTAACATATTAGAATACACACACCTACACCGTTCATGTTAAGATGCCGTAGAGAGGGTCTTTGTCTCACTAGGATCTGGGAGTCTATGATAAAAGTAAAAAGAATTAGAAATAAGTCTGACTGAGTAGGGATTTACATGAATTGAAGTAACAGAAAAGGAAGCGATGTACAGTACCGTATGGCCCTACACCACTGGTAGAAAGAAGCGCATGACCTGCAGTGTGGAAAAGTTACATTAGACACAAATTACTTTCCAACAAATGAAAGCATAGCTTGGCTAATTATAAAAGCATATTTTGTGTTGCTTTCCATAAATTTCCATTTTTATATATTTTCAAAAGAAGTCTTTCTGCTCACCAAGGCTGCATTTATTCGATTGGAAATACAGTAAAAACAGTAATACTGTGAAATATGAAATATTACTATAGTTTAAAATAACAATTTTCTGTTGTGATATATTTTTAAATGTAATTTACTCAATTTGCTCAATTTCATGTGTCCTCGCTGACTATTTATAAAAAAAAAAAATCTTGCTGACCCTAAACTTTTAAAGTTACATAGCAAGTGATTTGTGTGGCAAATACATCTTACATAAATGTACAATTTTAACAAAATAAGTTTGTTTGTTCTTTTTGTTGTTGTTGTTTTTTAAAGTGAAAAGCTGTGGACCTGGAGACATTACGCGTTTGAACAAGGCCTTTTGTCTTCTTGCTAGACAGGAGAAATAATGCTCATTAGCAAAATATAATGGCGTAAAGATTATTCTGATTAAAAAAAAATATATATATATATATATATATATATATATATACCAAAAATGGCCAAAACAGAAAATTTTTCTTGAAACATCATTTGAAATATTTGAAAATATATTTGAATACATTTTTTCCACATGTGTGCAAAAGCATGGCACATTCAAGTTACAAATGACCGCACCGCTCTCTTATGTTAAAAATCTTTGAACGTCAACAAACCAAAAACCTCTCTTTCACACACAAACACACAATGGTGGGTTCGTCGCAAGCGGGCAGACAGGTGCTGAGACGACAGGAAACAAAAATAACCTGGCATGGCCTGCGCAAACTCACACACTCATATATAAAACTGAGCTGGATTATTTTGGTATTCAGCTGCTTAAGCAAAACTGAATAAGCAGGTCATATCTAAATGTGTGCAAAAGTGTTTGAAACCCCACCTTCCTCAGGTCAGCAAGATATAACAACAGCTCTCAGCATTTACACACACACACACAACTCACCATCATCCTGAGCTGTACTTTACAAAGAGGCTTTCTGTTGTACTGATAAACTTCTCAGCATTTACCTTTCTTACACACACACACATCTGTAATTCTCCATCGCAGCACTTTAGCTGAGCTGAGCTCCTGGAGGAAAAACTCCATCCAAATGTTTCTCCTACAGCGTCAGTGCTTTTAATACAGTAGTAAAAGAGCATTTAGCTGACAGCATGTGGGTTATGATCCCTGACGGTGCTCTCTAACTAAACAAGTTGCTGGAGAAGCAGTAATATTACAATATATTTCGATTCAGTAGGAATCAAACACCGCGATTGCTCATATATAGCCAACTTTTCAAAGAAATAGCATGTGAAACAGTAGGTTAAATGCTTCAAATGGTTGCATGCAACATTGATGCCATGAATTTGCCTTTTTTATACAAAATGCAGGTCATTTTGGAGATGCGAAACAGAATAAAGTCTTCCTCACACTTTTGCTTTGCACTACAGCTTTATTTACCAAACACAAGTTTCAATGCAATGCAACACTGATCCAGAGCAGATATGTTATTTTGCTGAGGTGTCCATAAGCCCGCTGGCATGTTAAGAGATATTTATCAAGCATAAGAATAACATGTACACACAATTCTCGTGGACATTAGCCTAATCACGACAGTTAAAATAAATCAATGTTCTGTTTAGTTCTGATATGTCCTGAATTAGATATAAAGAGGAACGCATGGTGGGGCTATAAAAGGGTCTTTAGGATCCCCTTGATTGGAATAAAAACACCCCACTGGTTTATTTTCTGTGATAAGGCATTACGATTGGTCCCTGTAGAGCTTGAAAATTCACGTTTGGTCTGATTTGATCCGTCCCTCCTCCCAATAACATGCAAAGATATGCATGTTTCAATAATTATATGAGTGCACATCACATGATTGGCTAAGGCTGATTAGTCTAACTAGGAGAAGTAGGCGGGGTTAATTACAGCAGTATGTACAGTTACAAAGCACATCACATAATGATCAAAATACTCACAATGCACCTATCAAGTTTAGCAGCATATATATATATATATATATATATATA